GTTTTCCTCAATATTATTCTGTATTTTTCAACATCAATATAATTTATTTATTATTTATTTTATTTTCCGTATTTTAATTTTTATTTTCCTTATCATAATTATTATTATCCTCAACCTCAACCTCCACCTCATCATCCTCAACATTAGCCTCCACCTCATCATCCTCAACATCATCTTGCCCCTCATCATCCTCAACATCATCATCCTCAATATCATCGTCCGTAACATTATTATTCTCATCCTCATCAATATCATCGTCATCATCGTCATCATCATTATCATCATGATAATTATATACTATCCTCACACCCACACACATATTGCTTGGGATCTCTTGCCGGTGTGATTACGTTTTATTATATCAATTAGTTAATTATTATATATTTAATTTATATATATTATTTTTAATTATCAATGATATTATGTTGATAATATATCAATTCAAAATAATTCATTTATATATTCTTGTTTCATAATATGTTCTTGATTTTATTGTTATTTTAATATGGTTTTATTTATTTGATATTATATATTTAATTTCAATAGTTCATGTTTTTTACATATTACATAAACATATAGATATATATGTGAAATATGGTTATAGGTTATTGATGTTCTTTTTGTTGGATTCAAATTTTCCAAATTTCCGCCCTGGCCCGGACGGGCACTACCAGTACCTGGTACAAGATTTACCTTCTAGTAAATTAACTTGGACTCTGAAAACTATCAACTTCTAGTGGAAACTAATCTTCCAATCCCTATCTGGCAGGGTCTATGTCAGTTTATTGGAGGGGAAGACTATTTCTTAATTCTTGATATTTTTCGAAGTTCTCTAGCTCGCTGTCGTGGTGGGATTGGAGCCGCCGTTGCTCCAGTCCGCGTGTTTCGGCGCCTTTTTTAAGAGGCGCCCGGCAAAAAAGTGCTGCGGCGGCGTGACAGATTTTTTGAGATTGTCTGCATTTCTTTGGAACTATATAATATATATATATATATCCCATATTATCTCATATGTTCCATGGTGCTGGACTATTTATCAACATTTATCCCAAAAATTACCCAAATGTAGGCAAATATACAATGAATGGAGCATTTGGTGGATTCTGGTTGACTCTGACCCATCCCCAATAATCTGTGGTTGTGAATTGCGATGTCAAATGGGACTAGCGTTCCGATGTCAATTCGGCAAGATCAAGTATGACATCTGGTTGGTGGTTGAGCCACCCCTCTGAAAAATATTAGTCAGTTGGGACGATTATTCCCAATATATGGAAAAATAAAAAATGTTCCGAACCACCAATCAGGACATGTTCCACTCTGAATGGTCTATGGGAGTCTGTTTAGTTGTGAACAAGCCTTGAGTTTATTAGAAAGAGACTGTCTGAAGAGGGGGACACCCAAAATCTGTTAGAAAATAACGTTGTCCAATTTTACTGGCTAAAAATGGATATACGCCATTGTCAAACAGGCTCATTTAGTCCCCGCAATGTCCCCACCGCTAGACGAAGAAAGAGCACCTGGACCTAGACTTTGGAGCTATAGGTAGCTGTAGGTAGCACCCTTCGGTGGCTGACCCAAAGAATGGTGGATCAATCCGCATAGCATAGTTGATCTGAAGTTGGTTAGATTGTCAACAGACGTATCTTCTCCTAAAATAAAGGTAAAGTACTTGTCGATTTTTTCAGGGGTTGCTAGTGCCAAATATTGTAATTAGATGCTTGAGGCTATATAGTTCATATGTACCATCTGTTATGAAACTAGCATCCATGTTCCATATTTGGAATGATATTCCATGTGTTTTTTCATGGTGAATTTGTCAATATCTCGCCTTAGACCTAGCCTAGCGTCACGCCACAGCGGCCACGCAGGTCACACCAGTGTTGCTATAGTTGGAGATATGCTTCTATAATCCAAAAAGAAAGTATGACACATATTATATCAAAGTGTACAATCAAATGCAGTCAGGTTTTCACTGTTTGCCCATCTATAGTACAATCAATATGTATTAAGCTACAATCCATTCCGGCCGTTGTCGTGCGTGATTTGCAACCAGTTTCCTGTTTCATCAGAAAAACACACTGAGGATTAGCATTCTTCTCCATGTTGCTCTTGGAGATGAAAATCATGATATCCAAAGATCTACCCTCTGCTACAAAAATGGTCCATTTATAGATAATAACAATAACAAGCTATCTATAAAAATCTGGTGATGTTCCATAGCTATTTCCAAAATCACCAAGCCGATACCCCTTTTGGGGGTCAAAACACCTAGGTCGAGCCTAGGGCTCAACACCGAAAAACACGGCGAGTCACTCACCATGAACAAAAATGCTGCTTGGCAATTTTGAAGCACATCATTTGCCCAATATAAACCATGACCAGTCAATACCAGTTATATATTCTGCGAAGTTCAATGATATCATATCCAACAAAGCATGTCATAAGAAATACCTCCATGGTAGCCATCAATTCAGTCGGGTAAATCCGTCATATTTTTGATGATGTGTCATCCACATGTTACCCTCTGGTAATTTAACGTAGCTATTGAAAATTGCCATTTGTAGTGGATTTACCCATTCAAAATGGTGATTTTCCATAGCTATGTAAGTTTACCAGAGGGTATCCCCAAATTGTTGGGTATAAAACCTCTGTAGTTGCCACTCTCTTGTTGATTCAATCCCCGTTTCTGTTCATGGCCAATCTTCTATCTCCTCAAACACAGTCTTGGCTGGGTAGGATTCATATCGCGATTTTCATGACAAACGATGACATAGTGGTTATAAATGGTGGTATCATTCCATAAATGGGGGATAATTGACTTATAACTGGTATTTCGGGCCATAACTGTACCCACATCATGCCACATCTGCCCGGAACCAAGGTCTTGGCAGGTCTTAGGTCAACTCCCATCTTCGGTGATGAAATGCTCCATGTGATCCACAAATGTCATATGCGTCTACCTGATGTGACCAGCCGCCTTTCCCCGCTTGGCAGGCGGCGGCCTTTTTTGTTGCACTCGAGTCCGCAGCACGTTGCCGGAGTCGAAGGAATGACATGGTTGAAATATGTTGAAATCATCGGGAAAAAAAAACATAAAAAAACATAGCTACGTTACCGTTAAATCTCTAGTAGTTGGTAAAGGTGTACCTATTTTGATGGCTACTTTCAGTGTCTTGCTTCGCAGTTTTGACTTCGGCCGGCTGCGACACGCAAAAATCCTCTGGCAACGGCCCACGCGTGAGTAAACTCGGAACGGCGAAAACCTCCGCGTTCCACTCGCGGCGGGTGGCTGCCAAGGTGAACTGGAGCTGTATCGTCGAAGAGCTGAAGCGCTGGAGCGGTATGTCGTCAGTCAACAATGATAGGTTTCCAATAGATTAACATTCCAATAGATGAACATAGATCCTGCAGATAGGGCTTGGAAGACTAACTTCCACTATATAAAAGAAATGTTATGTTCAGTGTCGATGTTAATTTACCAGAGGGTATATCATAAGATAAGTATGCAGGATAGATAAAATCTATCATAAATTTATCATCATATAAACCATCATATCTATCTTAGTATCTATGCTTATGGCTTATGGTATGTCAAGTACTCTACATATATATATATATACTATACTATGATATGATATGATATAATAATGGCAATCTATCATGTAAGTCATACCGTCTGTAGAGTAGTGCAACACAGTGCAATCATGTACAGTAGATATAAACTAATAAATAGTGTGAATATGTATGTTATGATACAGTGCAGTATTGTTATCATACATACACTAATGTATAATGATATATAATATGTACGTATCATGTTTGTATAATTGTTATGTGCGTGATTGTGCGTGTGTGTATTGTACCGGTAAATTTTATTTCCGTTGAGATAGTATCACTTGGTAGCATTGCACATCTTATCAGTGTATTTACTTTTATAATACATGCGTTGCGGTTGGGTCACGCACTCACCCAAACACATGTTGTACAAACTGGATACTGCATCCAGTCAAACACATAATAAAATAAAGAAATCAATGCAACATTTCAGCCATTATTGTGCTATGTAGCTGCTGTATTCATTTTCCTATCGTTTTTTTCTGTGACCCGAGGGAAATGAACCACAACCCTTACCCGGCCCCAAGGCCGGTGCGGGTTCACCCGGGGAGCTCTTGGACGTTCTCTTCGCTGCGGCCAGTTCGACACGCGAAGCACAGGTGAAACGGTGAAAGTCACGAAAAAAACACGGTTCCAGAATCTTTCATTTTATAACCCATAGGATCCATGGTGCTGCTATATATGGTAACATTTACCATCAATACACACCCAATGTTAGCATATATACCATACATGGATCCTATGGGTAAGGATTTCCATAAATGGTGGTACCCCAATAGCTGGATGGTTTATTAAATGGGTGATCCATCTATAAATGGATGAGAACTACGGTAGTACCCCCCATTTTAGGAACAAAGACACGGATGATAATGCTGCATGAACATGAGTTACCCGTAAATTTTCACAGTTTGACCCTGAAAATAGCATGCC